TCTGCTGCATTCCAAAAGTAGCGCAACCTTGCCGTGTGCACCCAGGCGTCGAGGACCGTCTCCAGAGGCCACGCGGCGGGGACCGCCGTCATCTGCCACAGAGGGACGGACTTGCTCGGCGCCATCGGGGCAGGTGGTTTTACCCTGCACGAGGTGCCTCTCTCCTGATCGAACCGGCTGCCGAGCCACGAGGACAAGGTGCCAAGGTGCAAAAGAGCAGAAGCAAAATCTGAGGGAGCGCCATCCTCACACGCTTGCTGCCTCCCTCCCACTTCAGAAGACAAGCCCTTTGAGTGAGAGCCACGCCTCATCTGCTTGTGAGTCGCAGCAAGCCATTATCCTGCACCAGGTCGACTTGCAAAGGCTTTAAAAGGCTCAAAGATGAACTGCTGCCTGAAACTCAGTAGCCCTTGAAAACTCATTGTGGAGGTGCATCTTCACGTCCACTACCTATTGGGGCATAAACACGCACGCCAAGTCCAATATGACAAGTTGAATGTCCCTACACCACCTCCAACATCTCCTAGCTGCAACATGATCCATGCATAGGACAGCTAGACCTTCGAATTACAAGCAGACTTGGCCACAATCCTTTGGAGCTCAAGTTCAGACTTGGCCACAATGCTCTGAACACCAGACCAACTCCGTTATAAAAGCCATAAGCAGCACCAGCACCTGTTTGATGTCAGAAAGGGAGTGCGTGGCGGCAAAGAACCTCTGGTCGCATAGAGCAACACTGCCTAGAACGCAATGAACTGCAGCACTGCTCCTCCTAAACTCGCCTGGCTAACCCTCACAACTCACAACACTGTCATCTCCCCTTGCACAACATCCCCAAAGGGGTTTGCACTTCGAGTTCTAACGCAAGCATTGCGCTGCATGCCCATCACATCTCGACCGAGACAGAGCTCCGTTTAACCTCTAGGTCTTATTCCCAGGTTCTGAAGGCCCTCCGCCGAATTGCCGAATTCCAAAGTTGTGCCACCGCGCCGCCTTACATGCGTACCCTCCATTCATCCACTCACTAAGCCCAACATGGAACTTCATGCGCATGCTACCTGTTTGTCTTGGGGGCATGCGCAGCAGGCCCGTGCAGCTGTGCTTTTAAAATCTTGTGGCCTTCCGAACACCGGAGGCCTCTGTGGCCTGCCTGCATTCTGACACCAAGATGCACAGACCAACCCTGCTGAAGCTCCTCAACCCCTGACTATCTTGACACACTCAATGATGCTCACGGAACTCCCCTTGAAAATGCCAACGCGTGAGCACCTCTGAGGATCACACGCTACGACAACGAGGCCTTGAGGCGAGCCAGTGAGGGGTTGGTCTCGTGCTTCAGGGGTGCTACAGACATCAGGGAGTGGGTGGCTCTGGGATTTAGCTGCTTCGAAGACCACCAGTTCCATTATTTCGGAGGCACCTGCAAGCTTCTCGATCAATGGCTTTACAAAGTCGTGAAACCCAACATCATCCAGGCTGCGGAAAGCAAATGCCTGAAAACCCACATCTTCAATTGCCGAGAGCCACCAGCACCAGGACACCTTGACACCTTGTCTCCTTGCATCCTCCCCGTAGGTTGCAAGAGCATCTTAACATAGCCCTAATAGGTCATCATCACTTTACGAGAGTTCTGGCCTCTTGGCCCCCTCAGCGCGCTTCACCCAGACATGCCTGACCCTAGCTATCCGTGGAGACATGCCTGACCCTAGCTATCCTTGTTGACATCCCTTGTGGGCATCCCTCATCCACAGAGTCATACAGCTCTCATTACCCTTCGTTGAAGAATTATCATTTGAGCGGGGCTGTGGATGGAACGCATTCTGACCAAGCAGCGGAAGCCTTCCCAGACCTGTTTCCGTTGCCACCCCCAGTGGCCCCCTGCCCCGTGCTCTGCCGCATGCCTTCCAACGAACTCAGGGAGCCATACGGATTCAAGGTTTCAAGCCGGCGCCGCTGGAGGGTAACCTCCCTTTTGGAAGGTCTTATTGATACTGGGCTCTATACCGGCCCCAACATGCAAACAGGAGCTCCCAAGACTGTCCCCGTGTGTGGCAGAAGGCCAGGTCACGTGGGCCAGATTTTTCTGCGACCCACAATGCAAGAGACGTGCCAAGTCACAAGTGATCCTCATGTACTCCTACTGTTTACATGACGAGAGAATGCGATAAACAGCACAGAGAAAAAACTTCCATCAAAGCAGGTGAGGGCTGCCTTACCTGCTCAACTCCAGAATCTTCAGGGGCATTCTTGCCCAGGATGTGCGCAGGGACTCCTCCATCTACTCTTCAAGCCGAAAGCCCTGCTGCTGGAGTCCCAAATCCCATGAATTAAGAGAATCAAGTCCCTACGCTGAAAACCTGAGATCTTAGGATCCACACTTCTTCCTACCGCGGCGCCTTGGCGAAAGCTGCCCGCAGACCTGCGCCTGCGATGGGGTTGGGGGCACCAGGCCAAACAGCATTGTCAGGATTTCAGAAGGCTGGGGAAGCGGGATGTGGTTCAAGGGTTTGGGCATGCCAAGGCATGCTGGGGAGGATGCATATCTGTTTGTTGTTGTGTAAGGTTCCGGGGTCTCCGCTTGTAGGAATATCGTGCGGTGGGTATTAAAGGAAGACTTGCCTTGGGTGCCTAGTACCCTCTCTACGGAGTTTTGGCTCCTTTGGCGTTGCTTCTGCAAGCGTTAGATGCACAAAGTTGAAGGCCCAGGGGTTCATGATAGTAGAAAGGACATGAGAGATCTTGTACAAACTTGGCAGGAAGGCCGCGACGAGGACTTCTCCGTGAGTAGAGGGCTGAGTGAAGGGCTGAGGGAGCAGCAGCCCAAGCATTTTGCAGAAGACAACGTGGCTGTTTTGTACACAGCCATGTAGGCCTGTCCGGGTCTACGTTGGCCTTTGCTCTTGAGCTCAGTTCAACTTATAGTATACTGGTGTGCTGGTGTCCAGGCGGTTCAGATTTCTTTTCTTCCTCAAATTCATGGCTACTCCCATGCCCACAGCACTGTTTGGGATCATTTGCATCACCAAATCCGAGCTCCGACCTTTAAACCCCAAACAGCACAACCCACAACCTCAAACCAAAAATACCATCACTTTTGAATTTTTTTGTTTGGTGGAGAACTGTAATGCTACTATCACTTTCGGAGCTTGGGCTTCTTCCTTGAGGTCCCCGACCTCCAAGTCCCAAAGCTGGCCCAACACCCAACCCGAAGCCTTGGAGCTAAAACAGTGGAATGGAAAAGACAATGGAAACCTCTAAATCATTTAGGGTAGTAAGGTTCAGGGGGTTGCGCAGACCTGGAAGCTCCCGTATTCTTTTGGGCTTAGGTTGTAGTGTGTTCGGGTGGGGCGGGGGTGGAGGGAGGGGATCTGTGCTTCTTAGAGCTGAAGCTCGGGCCCTGGCCTGCTGTGGAGGGTGTCGAAGGCCTCGCGGGCTGAGAAGGCCTCAAACTACAGGCATTTCTTAGGGGTCGCGAGGGGCTTGGAGGGTTGCAAAGGCTTAGGGTTTTTCATGGGTTTAAATGCGACTTTGGGGTTCACGCAGGTTCTAATTCGAGGGTTGTAGGGCTTCAGGCTCTGCAAGGCTGGTAGCTTGAGGCTTCAGAACCTGTACAAGATTGATTGGAGCTGGAGCCGGGAGGCTGCAGAATTTCTCGGCTTTAGAGCTTCGGGATGAAGATTTCGTTCGGGCCTTTTGGATGCATTGGGTTTCAGCTCTACAGGTCCTACTGTTGACGCACGCAAGCCTGCATGGCCCTAAGTCTCCGATAGTATCATGATATCACAATAATGCCTCGGATTTAGGTATACATCTTCATGCAAGTTCTCTTTCAGCCACCGTGTACCCAACTTGGAGTCTGCAAAGTTGGAAATTCTGAAGGCAAAGCCTAGGACCCTGGAAGTCTATATAGGTCATAACACTCTGGTACAGCAACAGTAGTCTGCAATACGAAGCCGGATGACTGTCCCTGCGCCGAGCTGCCAACCTGCGCCCTCGGAAGAACCCTCGGCCTGCGGTGACGCGAAGTCTTCTGCCTCTCGGGCCTCGCAGGGTCAATGAGAGGGCAAAATAAAATGGAATTCTCTGGAAGCTTCATACGCTTGATAAACGCTCTTGGCCGTGTCACAAGCACGGCACTGGTCCCCGTTTCGAGGCGCTTCCACACATCCGCGCGTATTCCCCTGCGGTCGTGTGCCCAGGGGGGTTCGGCACGTGAGCACAAAACTGGGAGCCGAGGAAGATTGAAATGGGCCGTCACTCAGGCACTGCACACCTCCCGAACCTAGCTCAGCTCTGGAAAGGGTCTTACGGATCCCAAACTCATCACTGTAAGCTACACAAAAACACGCCTGGAAATGGTTCAGAAGGCGGCGTGCACTTCACTCCGGCAGCTCCTGCAGCAAAGCCAAGCCCGGAGGCACTGGACAGGCCGTGCACTGAGCAGCTTGGCGGCATCCGCGGGAGCAAATTGGCGAATTGGCTTGGCTCGTGGCCGTCTGGGCGCTGTACAAGGAAGGTAAGCTTAAATCACTTCAAAGGATCCGTCCACAAACTGGCTGTGACGGGGATGGAGCTGCTGTCAGCGGTCTGGTACATGTCTGGTGTCCCCTTGCCCCGCTGGCAAATGCCTCCCCGGCGAGTGCGAAAGTTCGGGTGCCCCTTGCTGAGGATGCAGGGCGGGCAGGCGAAACAGGCCACGGGCAAGTCAGGCTCAAAGACGATCTTCAGCACCTCGCAGTCCGCGGACCAGGACTCCACGCTTGTGAGTGTCACAGGCTCGCCCGAGTCGAGCATCACGAAGTCGCCCACCTTCAAGGTGCCAGCTGCGAGGTACTTTGCGATGCCCACTCCCGCCTTCACCTCCGTCACATCCGCCACTCCCTCCTCCAGGCTTTTCAGGTGAGGCACCTGCACCAGGTGGTCTTGCGTCACCTGCTAAATCGCAGCTCCCGCTTGCAAGCGGACGAGGTCGGTTGCCTTGCAGATCTCCGGATTCTTGGCGACCTCCAAGATGGTCTTGTCATCGCCAGCCACAACTTGGGAGCCTTTCTTTAAGTCTCTGCTCATCAAGAAGAAGTCCACGCCGTAGCTGCGGGTCTTGAAGATGGCGTCCAGCATGAAGCAGTGAGGCTGGACCGAGAACCAGGAGGAGCGGCTCAGCACGGATGAGGCGTCCTCCACCAGGATGTAGCCCAGGGAGTCAGAGGTGTTCGACTCAGGGCTGCTGGAAGCTTCTACGCCGGAGGCTGGGCCGTGGTGAGCAAAAGTAGGATTCGTGGGAAATCTACCGCTCATGCGCAAGGCTTGCTCCTTGGCCTCAGTGAGCTGCTCCGGCTCCTGGTACTTGGCAGCCTCCACCTGGCACTTGGCCATCTGATCCAGCTTTGTCTCCGCCTTGGCAAGACTTGCGTTGAACTGCTCGCATCGCTCCTCGTACTTTGCATTCTCGATCAGCAAGGTCTTCAGCTCCGTATTGCCTCCTGCAGGATCCTTGGCCAAGCGGCTCTCGAGTTGCTGGCAGCGCTCCTCGCACGCCCTCTTCTCGCTTTGAACCTTGCTGAGCTCATCCTGGCTTTCGGCAGCTGCGGCCTCTGCTGCTGCCACCCGCTGCTCGAGCTTGGTAGTCTCCTCCTGAGCTTGCTGGAGCGCCTCCACTTTGTCGGATGCCGAGGCCTCCGCAGAAGCCAAGCGCTCCGCGAGCTGCCTTCGCTCCTCCTCCGAGGCTCGGAGCTGCATGACATGCTCGGCTGTGCCAGCCTCCAAAGCAAGCACACGAGCCTCGAGCTGCCCACATCGCTCTTTGTGCTGGGCCACTTCGTCCTTTGATGCTCGGACCTCCGAATCCGCCTCACAGGGTGATGGCTTGAGGTTACAGACAGTAAAATCTCTTTGATCTAGGTAGCCTAAAAGACTCCCCCTCTTCTTTTTAGAAAAGTGGAGATGACATCTGACAGCCAGGTCTACAGACTCTGATCGAAGTGGACAGCTCGCAGACATGCTCTCCAACACAATGCTCTCAAACAGTCGGCTTGAAGACCTTGCGTCAAAAGAACTTCAGCTAAACCTTGTAGGTCCTCAGTCCTGATGTTTCGCCTATGACCTGCAGAGTCGTCACCATGAATCAAACCTAAAAATCTAGCAGCCTAAAATTCGGAGTGTAACGCTGCACGACTGCCGATCCATGGCTCTCAAACTATCAGCTCTCGAAGCCCTTGCTGCATAGCCCTGAAGCCTACCTGAGTCGAAACGGTAAGCCCTGCATCAGATATGCCCCTGTTTCGGCCAGGACTGCGCCCCTGCTGAAATCACCGCCCTGATCGATCCTGAACCAAGGATAGAAACCGAGCCCAAACAACAACTCAACAAACACCACTGAAGTTGACCGCAGCTCTGAAACCTTCGGTCAAGCTGCCAGGCAACACAAATCAAGCCCCCCCACAGAAATCAACACAATTGGAGAATCCCAGGCCTCCTGCAAGCAACCTGCAAGGCGGGCAGCCTCTTCCTTGGCCTTCTGCAGCTCGTGTGCGGTAGACTTGCCCTCCTCCACTCGCCGCCGCGTCTTCGCCTCCTCCGCGGCGCTGTGCTCCGCGGCCGTCAGGCGCAGGGCGAGGCGCTGGGAAGCAGCTTCCAGCCAATCCCAAGAGGAAATGCAGCACACACCATTCACTCGCGCCAAGCCTTCGTTGGTGAAGTAATGCACGTCGCACCGCTGCAGCTCGGCTCGGCCTCGCTGGAAAAGCTTTGCCGCGAGGACCGGCTCGGCCTTCGGCTCCCAGAGCTCCGCGGCACGCTGCTTCAGCAGGTCCAAGGATTTCTGGGAATCTGCTGCATTCCAAAAGTAGCGCAGCCTTGCCGTGTGCACCCAGGCGTCGAGGACCGTCTCCAGAGGCCACGCGGCGGGGACCGCGGTCATGTCCCTCAGAAAGGTTTTCTTGCCCGGCGCCATGGAGGGAGGTGGGGCTTGAAGAATGCCCGGATTCCGCACGAGGTGCCTCTCCCGTGATCTTTTGCCTGTGAGCCGGCTGCGGATGCCACGAAGCCAAGGTGCAAATGAACAGCAGGAAAAAGTCGAGAGGCCGCCATCCTCGCTCCTTCTCATGGACCTTTTTGAAACGTGTGCACCCAGGACCGTCGCCAAATGTCACGCGGCGGGGACCGCGGTCACGTCCCTCAGAAAGGTTTTCTTGCCCGTCGTCATGGAGGGAGGTGCTTTTGAGTGCTTAGATTCCGCACGGGGTGCCTCTCTCGTGATCTCTGCCTCTGAGCCGGCTGCGGATGCCACGAATGAACAGCAGGAAACAGCACCATCCTTGTTCGGTCTCATGGACCTTTTCAAAAAGCAAAGAGCCCCGCCTGTCCAGCTTCTGGGTCGCGGGAAAAACCATAATCCTGGGCAAGGTGAGGAAAACGCAGAGTCTAAGTTGTGACTGAGTCTTGTAAGCAATTTTCAATCCGCCGGGCAATGAACCACTGCCTGCATCTTGGTTGTTCTTAAATGAGCAAACACTACGCAGCATCTTCACCCCGTCCATTACTCATGGAATGCCAGGGCTTTGTCCAAGACTCCGCCCAGATGTACCCAAAGAGTCTCCTTGAGCGCGTCCCAGTACCAGACTCCATGCTCAGAACATGTCATCCAAGACACCGCTAGAATCCAGCTAGAAGCCATGTGCTCTGTTCTGCTCCAGCCTTTACCTCTTAGTCTTGTGCCCACGTTCCCAGGGCCGGCCCTTCTCTCTGCTCTCAACCGCTAAGTGGTACATGGGCACTGGCCCTCCGCACACTGGCACAAACTAAGCCAACATAACACATGAACAGAGAGCAGTCTACAAAAGCCTCCTTCCAAGCTTCTGGCCTTCGGTTGTTTTGCATCGCAACATGCACGTTAAGCTGGCATGCCTGGTGCGTACAGTACCATAGGCAAACAGATGCAGCAGCACGAAGAAACAACCCCAGAACAGGCCACAACTCCAACCCCAACTCCCCCAGATCTGCCGAGGTAAGCCTGCTCAAGCCCCTCAGCCCTTGACCCCAACTACGGGCACGCTCGACCTAACTCTCCTCAAGCCGCTTCCTTTGTCAAAGGAATCCTGCTAACAAAACTTCTGAAATCCCTTGCAGTTGGAGCGCACTCCTGAGAGGTCCAAACGGCGCTGCAGTCACCGGGCCCGGAAGCCTTGCAGGAGGCTCCAGAGCGGTGGCATCCGCTTCAAGGAGAGCTGCATGCAACCTTTTTTGGGACCCAGCGAAACTCGTAGAACTGGAGGATCTCTTCACGGAGTTTAAAGGAGGTTTCCGGCGCTTCAAAGGATGCATCTTTTTCCCTCTTTGGAACCTTTCTGGTTGGGGACTGATTGTGAGATGTGCTGTGTTCCTATTACCCTCTTGCTGCTCTCGGCTCAGGCGGAATGATGCCAAAAAAGCGGCACAGCTGAACTTGGAACTTCCAGCTTTCGGAAAAAATACGCTGCAAAGAAGGCAAAAGCGCCTCTACTTCAGGGTCAGGTATCACCTTGGCGATCCTCTTGAAGGGCCTTGTCAACATGTCCGCACCACAGGGCACCTGCACCCCACACCTGGATTCTCAACAAGATCCCCACACCTTCCACCGCAACTCGGATTCCACGCGCCTGGAAATGTGGAAGCCGATGACTCAGACTCAGGCTTGACCTGTGAAAGACGCTGGAGTTCAAGCAGACACTGCCTTCACAACTAAGCAAGCTCTCCAACAAGCTATCCAAGTTGCCTGAACCCCGCTAGCTACTGCCTCCACTCGGCCTGCAAGCGTGGCAGCAAGCATCCGGAGCCCAGGAATTGAACAACACGGCGGGGCCTTGGATTTGAAGTCCGAGATGATCGGATCCAGGCTTCTGAAGTTTGCTTTTGGCAACTTGGCTTGAGGGTCATCATGCTGGGGTACCCAAGCTGTGTGGGATTTGGGGGTTTGGAGGGTGAGGCCCGGGATGTCAAGGATGTTTGGGTACGGGAGGGAAAGGGGCCAAGTCTAGAAGCTCTATCGTCTATGGTTTAGGATCTAGGGTTTAGGGTTTCTTCAGTTCTGCGGGATGCCATGACCGTTAGCAGCAATAGAAAGGATTCTGGCTTATTGGGGGGTTCCTCACAAGCGGATGCTGGGCCCAGCATGGCCCAAGACCCCAAGGAGTCTCCTTCTGCAGCCAGCCTCCGCGGTTCCTTACACTACCTGCATGGACACAAAAAAGAGGGCAACATACTGGCTAAACACCGACAAAGAGGCAACTTTTGGGCATGCGCGTAATCCTTAATTCACGCAGTGTCGGGGTCTGGCCGACAAAACTTGAAGTTCAAGTCAACAAAACCCTCTAGCGCAGTCTCAATCTCGTCAACTCCAGCTCCGGAGCTTCTAGATCTACATGTCGCTTCCCGTTTCATGTTCCATTTCACTCTGCGTTGTGCAGTTTAAGCAAGCCCCAAAATCCTTGAAACCCTAGACGCTGCGCATGGCCTTTTTCATTCTTAAATCTGATCCCACCCAAACTCTACCCCCTAAACTACTGGAATTCCCCTTGGAGACCCACCCACATACAACGGCAGAGCACATCAAAAAGCTGCTTGCCGAGCCCGTAGCCATACACCGGAAGGCCGAGCTCCTATCTTGCTGCTGGGCTTGCGGACAGTGCAGGGGGATTCAGAACGGTGTAAGGCTTAGGGTTTAGGATCTAGGGTTTAGGAGTTTAAGGTTTAGGGTGGTTTAGGGCCCCAGTAGCTAGCAGTTGCAGAAGCTACTTTGAATCGTGTTCGGCTTCCTGGTGTCATTCAAGGTCTATTTCCATCACTAAGATGGATTGGTCCCTCAGGGTAGGAGCTGCTCCACATGTACCTTTTTTTATGGACCCCACTCATCCTCCTGTATCCCCATCTTGGGCAGCCTCGGGCTCCACCTATTTTGAGGGTATGTCCGGGGGAGCCCTCATTTGCAAAAAAAATCGTGTGATTTCATACCACATGTCACCCCCAAAAAATGTTGTAGTTTCCCAAAACAGGGGGGCCAATCTAGACCCCACTATACTATAATCATTCTTTTTGGAATCCACCAAAAAAGTACCCCTAATTTTCGGAAATCACCATGTGCGTGTTTTCCTCATGCCTCATCATCGCAGCCCGCGCAAGACAACCACGCTGAAGGCCTCGGATGACCTGAAAAGGACTCAGGCTGGAGGCCCTCTCCCAGCATCAAGGCTTCCTTTTAGGGAGCTGGTGCTCAGGGTTTCTGTATTCGCAGTGCATAGGGCATATAGGGCTGGATCATGAAGAGACCGCAGGCCTTGCGCAAAAGCACCACGGGCTCCCCAATCACCGATTGGGTTCCAGCACCTAAGTAGCTTCAGGGGGTTATAATCACAACAATCATAGAACCATAGCAAAATGCAGCAATGATAACATCAATTGCGAGTTATGATGATGGAATGGATCCCATGTTGGATCCCTTTAGGGGTCTGACGAAGCTCCTTTTTGCCAGAGCGTCTGAGGAAATCGCACGAAACAATGACAAGGCGTTTGCCCTCCGCTCCTTGCACGAGTGTACTGAAAGGGTTGATCTACTGAATTCCTGTCATCCAATGACCCGATCTTGGAGAAAGAAATCGCAAGGAGCACATTGCAACCGCATGCCTGCAGCCTTCTGCGCAGGCTGCCAGAAAAACTGTGAGCCAAGCCACCAACAAGACCATGCGTACTACAGCTTTTACAGGGCATATTTAAAACTAGAGCTGCTAGGTAGGGCGTTTTAATATCGGCAGCGTCCGTCAGCAAAGGGTTAATGACAGCATTTGCTTGGTCTTCCTCCTGGAACTTTCCAAAGATTAGGAGCGGCTTCGTGCAGGCATTGCGCACCCTCCAGAAAGCACTAGAAATGGAAAGAGGACTTTGTGATCTACAAATTATCCCTCACACAGGCCACTGATTCACAGGAATTTTACAAGGCATCTGCGGCTGCGTGCGCTGCATGTGCTCCAGCACCTCCGGTGGCAAGCCAAGTAGCCTGAGGCACTGAGCCGTGCGCTCAGCAACTTGGCCGGCGCCGCCAAAGACGCCCGAACTCTTTGGCTCTGGCTCTTTGATGCTACACCATACATTGCTTATGGGTCTGCGGCTATCGTGCGGCGAAAGAACGCCACGAAGACGTCGCTCGCCAGAGTGCAAAGTAGCACTACGGCGACGACTGGTGCATCAGCTTTGCATGGCGGCAGCATGGGGGTATGGTACCTTGTATTCAGCTGACCATCCGATCCCCAAATCCATCCTTTCAGCAAAGAGACGTGACGGGAGTGACTAAGGTTTGAACCATCAAGCGATGGACTTCAGGCATCAATCTAGCAGCTAAAGTCTAAAGACTAAGTCGGCAACAAGACACGACTTCCTCGTCCGAAGAAACCTGCTTGCAGAACCATGCGAATCCGAGTTGACAGACCCAAGCCGCGTAGATGACACAACGCCTTAAAGGATATGGAAAACCTACCTTTGCGCAACAGCATCTTTGTGGGTCTGTGGGTATCGTGTGGCGAAAGAACGCCGCGAAGACGTCGCTCGCCAGAGTAGCACTTAGGCCACTATTGGTCCATAAGCTTTGCAAGGCGACAGCGTGAAAGTGTGATAAATGTATTCAGCTGAACATCTGATCACAAAATCCATCCTTTGAGCTAAGAGACGTAACTGGACCGACTAAGGTTTGAACCATCAAATGATGGATTTCAGGCATCAATCTAGCAGCTGAAGACTCAGTCAGGGCCCCGGATAACTTAACAAGTACACTTAGAACCTGGAAGCCCCCTAAGCCCGTTGATGACTACAGCTATCCCCGTTCTCAACCTATCCTGGAGGTCGCCCTGGCCAAAATACAGTTTAAATACGTCGATTGGGTAGGCTGTCACGCCTCGGAAGCTGCAGATGACAAAGAAGAATTGCAGC